TCTTTCTTTCTTTCTTTTTCTTTCTTCTGGTTTTTTTCCTTCTTATTTTTTTGAGACATGGTCTCACTATATAATTCAGGCTAATCTTGAACTCACAATGTAGCCCAGCTGGGCTCAAACTTGCAGTGATCCTCCTGCCTCAGCCGCCAGTGCTGGGATTACAGGGGTATGCCACCACAACAGACTTCAAGTAGATTAACTTTCTGTTGCTTAGTAACAATAAAACTATTTTCCAAGCTAGCCTAAAATTTATCAGCATTAATAAACATTTTAGTGGGGTGATGTACCTCTGTAATCCTAGCACTCTGGGAGGCTGAGGCAGGAGTTTGAGCCCAGCCTGGGTAATTTGCCTCAAAACAAAACAAAAAAGGAGACCTGCCCCTTAGCTCAGTTCTTTAAGTGGCTGCTTCAGCAAAGCAGTCAGGCTCAGGTTGCTGTGGTTCGATCCCCACAACTCAAGCCAGCCAAACCTGCCCTGAAGGCATTCGGAGAAAAAAAAAAAAAGATGAGGATGTAGCCTAGTGCAAAGGCTCTGGGTTCAATACCCTTTTGGATCACCATTTAGGGACTACTTCACTGGGTCCTGCTTCAGCGTTTCTCTTTAAGTTTAATGGGGGGGGGGCACAGCCATCTGAAGGCTAGCCTGAGGCTAGGAGATCTGCGTCTGAGGTGACTTTCACAGGGCTGTTGGTTAGGCAGCCTCAGTTTCTCACTGGCTTTTGGCAGGAGGTGTTCCTCAGCAAGTAGACCTCCCTCAATAACATGCATGTCCTCTTGACAGGGCTGGCCATTTTCCCTCATTTCTCTGAATGAGGTCAGAGAGAAAAGGGAAGGAAGCTATGTTGGCTTTTATGACCTAAATTTGGGTGACACACGGTCATTCCCACCATTTTGTATTTCATTCAGATTAAGTCACCAGGTTCAGTCCATACTCCAAGTAAGGGAAGTAAGCTCTTCATGGGGAAGGGAGGAATATCAAGAAATTGTGGGCATGTTTTAAACCCATCACATTACTTAGAAACAAATTTGCAAGAACATTTTTTATTCCTTAAAAACATTTATCAGGGCCTACCTTGAAACATTCCTTAAAAACATTCTTTTATTTCACAGTCCTTAAAAACATTTATCAGGGCATACCTTGAACCCCGTTCCACACTGTAAACTTTATTCCACTGAACTATAGTCCCGTGCGGCGCTTGCCTCTTGTGGAATTTATCCAGTGTGGCGCTCCACTCATTTGGACAAGAACGTTTCCTCCCGGTTCTTGCAGCTTGTTTGGTACTCGGCGTGTAAACCAGTACTTGTGTTGGTGTTCATCATCTGGTGACTTGCTACCCTTTCCAGACAGAACAACGGACTGTCTGTTGCTTTGGGTGCTCTCTGGGCCTCGTGGATCTGACTGACAAGTACCAAGTACCACCGTCCGTGCACCCGCTCACTTCACAACCACTTATTGAACGCATTATCTGAGTCACTGTATCTGACCTTTCCAATCCGTTACCAGAAACCATTGTGTTCTAAGACCCTCACAGAGAACGATATGCTCCTAACCGTGCTCTTTGCCCGTCTTCAGGTGCTCGTTGGGCTTCTTCTTATTTTGGCAGCCATAGAGCTGGCCCTTGCCCTCACGGAAGACTATGGACAAGCCACAATTCCTCCCGTGAAATATGTCAACCCAATCCTCTACCTGTGCACCTGGGTAAGCCCCGTCACCACTTCTGCTCCATTTATCTTCTTCCTACCCATAACTGAAATGTACTTTTGGAGATAAATTAAGTCCAGTTTCATTAAACTTTGTCAAGGATTTACAGTGAAGCCAAATTTGGTTATGACAGGATGGAACACATTTTAGCTTTTTACCTTCTCTGATCTTATGGCCTGGAATCTAAATTTCTTAGACTAAAAGAATTTTAAGTGCTATAAATATTATTCTTAATTGATTAGTGACTAATCAATGGACCACAGAGTCTTGGGACTTTGTGTAGTTTTTTTTTGGGGGGGGGGCGTAAAACACTGTACTGTGCTTTAAAAATGAATTAGTTATTATTTTAAATTCTCAAATACGAACAAGGAGAAGGGGAGGGGAAAAGGAGAGAAGGTACCAGAAAAAATAACAGGAGGAACACCTGGAGACAGCTTTGTGAATAAGGAGGCCAAGAGGGGTTGAAGGGAAGGGAGAAGACTGGGAAAAAAGAAGTGAGAAGGTACAAATTCTCTATGATGAATGTGATCATGATGTATATCTAAAATGTACGAATAAAATTTTTAAAATGCAAAAAAATAAAGAAAAGAAAATGACACACCACTGTTTTGATTCACAAATTTTCTGAAAAAGTCAGAATTCCAACAACCATTCCCCCAGCAGCGGCCAGCCGAGACTGAACAGCTGCTGCCCCTTAGACCGTGGGGTGGGCGCAGTCACTCCTCGCGCTCTTTTTTCCCTGCCGTCATTAGTAATGTCATCTTCTAGACCTCTCAAGGCATTTTTATTTGCTACCACTGTGAAGGAACAGCAGGGAGGGGTCTCGACAATGGTGTCTCTTAAGCTTATTAAGTGATGTCATGTTGGAGCTTGAAATCCACCAAAGCGGGAGAATTCATACCATGAGACTAGCAAATACTGCAAATCATAGCTCTTCCCCTAGAGCACTGACTTGCTAGCAGAATATAGGTCTAGGAAACTAAAGGTATATGTGAGGTGACCGAAGGCCAGGTGTTAGGTTTGAAAGAAAATTTAATCCAATATTTGAAACATCAAGAGACAGACAACTTACACCTAGTCACTAGAATCCACCTCCTTTGTTGGGCATGATGGCGCACACCTGTAATCTCAGTGCTCAGGATGCTGAGGCAGTAAAATTTCCATGAATGTGGGGCCAGCTTGGTCTTATAAAAACTAAAACCAACTGACCAAACAAAAATTTGCCTCCTTGGCCTAACTATTGCCTGAAATTAATTTAGTGAGTCTTTTTTCCTTTTTTATGTATTTAATACACGGTCTCACTACACAGATTGGACTTGTAGTGACCTTCCTGTTTTTAGCCTCCCAAGCTCTGGGATTATGCTGTCTCAGCATGCCTCAGGGGTAGGGCTGGTATGGTGGCATGCCTGGGATTGAACACTGGTCCCTGTGTCTGCCCAAGCAGGTGCTTTAATCTGCTGAGCTATCTGGCTGGCCCTAACTGTTTTGTTTTTGTTTTGGCCCAGCTCAGCCCATCCTGAGGGTAGACCTGGCAGAGGACTGAACCATGGTTCCCTGCTTGCCTAAACTTGCCTAAACAGGCGCTTTAGACCACTGAGCTATGTCGCAGGCTCAAATTTAATGAGTCTTGAAAAAGTCTTTATAATGTCCAAAGTAACTCCACTAAAATGCATAGTGGCCCTCTGCTTTCTTGGCTAACTTCCCGCCCAAGGGTGGTAAAGAGAGATGAAGCGCTGGAAGAGAGTCAGATGCGATCAGGGAGCAAAAGTAGACCTCAGCATTTGTGTACTCTCTGCTTGGCCAGGTCAGCTTCCACAACCTCCTCTTTCAGCGTCGTTTCTTCCTTCCCTATTCTCTGGCTTTTTTCTCTCCTCCCATCCCTGCTTAATGATGCTATTTTTCAGAACTTCATGTAAATTTTTCTCTAGCTCCTGGTTTTGCTGATCCAATACAGCAGGCAATGGTGCATACAGAAAAACTCTTGGCTCCTGTCCATATTCTGGATTCTCTCGATATGCTGTGACACTTTCCAGTTTCAGACTCTTATCCGGGCACTGCTACAGGTAAGGAGAACAGAGGGTACGACATGAAAATCTGCTGCTGGGACATTTCTTTTTTGCTTTTTTCTTTAGGGAAACTTAATGGCATCAAGTCAGCTGAGCTCCAGGATGGAATTACAGTGAGGGAATTTGATAATAATTTTTAATCATA